GAGAGATTTTCGCTATAGGGCGCGTGCGCTCGCCAGACAGACAGAGAGAGACATAGAGACAGAAAGCGAGAAATCACCCCCCAGGGGGGATGGTCACGCCGCAATCCCTTCTCCTCCATTCTCCTCTTGGGATCTTGGGCATGCATGCACACGCGCCCAGCGTGAGTTCTAAGCCACTGGGTCCGGGACGCGAACCGCGGTCGACTACGTGGGAGTCCAGCGACATAGCCATTACGCTAACTGCTGGTTCCCTTGAATTGTGTTTTGTGGACTTTGCTTTAGTGTTTTAGGAGGACAAAGGGGCAAAGAGGACATCAAGGTACAGGAAAGACCTCAGGGTCTGAGGTGTGAAACAGCGTGGTGTAGACACAGACGACTAGCAGCAGTCTGCTGTTACTAAAGGATGCTGAACCAGGCAGGAGGAAGTAGAAATTAATGCTGGTCTTTAAGAGCTTAGGCATCAATAGAAATATTGAATTTGTTGCTGGATTTTAAATAATTGAGTAACATTAAGGGATTTTGTCTAAAGAAACAGACCTAGGATAAGTGAATAGGAGGTTTAAAAATTCTCCTCTGTGTTTAGAGTACAACATTTAAGACCAGAGTCAAATTAGGATGCTATTGCAACAATCTATGACAGAGGTGATAAAGGTCTGGATTAAGAAGTGATGGCAGGGACAAAGATCATTACAAAGTTTTGAGAAGTATTGGAGTTTGAAAATAAAAGACAGGTGGTAAATTAAATGTGTAAAAACATGAAGCAGACAGTGGAGTTAAGGATAAATTCCAAGGTCCTAACTAGGGACCTAAAGATTTTGTGATATACTAAAGATTGGCAATCAGAAGGAGGAGAAAGTTAGAAGGATAAAACGAATAAAATTTTAGACACATTGACTCTGAAGTATCAGTGGCACAAGTAGGTGATTTGGATGCAGAGTGACTAGAGTCAGAGAAATTATTTTGGGAGTTTCTTGAGTCAAAGTTAAGACATGGAGATGAACAATATCATGGTGAGAGAATGTGTTAAGAGAAAAAGAATGAAGATGGAAGTCTAGTGAATACTCACATTTAGGAGTCAAGGAGAGAGGGACCAGAAGGTGGCGTAGTGGTCACGGCACTGGACTCCCACATGGCCAACACCAGTTCTTTCTGAAGCTGGTGGCTTGAAACTCACACCGGATGCATATGCCAGTATGCCCAAAATCCCAAGAGGAGAATAAAGAAGACATTGCTGCATGGCCATTCCCCCGGAGGATGGTTTCTCACTTTCTCTCTGACTTTCTAGTGAGTGTATGTGGCTAATAGCAAAAAATCTCTAAAAAAAAAATCAAGCAGAAAAACACAACCGGCAAAAGAGACAAGAATTAAATTATCAGGATATTGGAGTATAACTACAACAAGTTTTGCATCAGACTGAAAAGATCTGATGAGGCTTTAAAAAATCCTGGAGGGAACAAAAGAAGAGAAATTTCAGTGAAAAATTAGACCAGATTTGGTGATACTGGATACAGTATGTGAGGAGGGTGGGAAATGGTGAAGGGTGAGAAGGAGGGAATCAAGGGGAAGAGGAAAGAAGGAAAACATTCAAAAGGACCCAAAATGGAATGTCTTTGACTGGACTGATATGTACTATATTCATGATGGGAAAATCCATTTGGTATGCTGTATTAAATCCATTGGTATGTGATTAATTGTAAATAAAATAAAATAAAATAAGATTAAATAGGATGAGTATTTAAGAATGATTATTAAATATGAGATATGAAGGGTGACAGCTAACTCTTTCGTGAAATATTTTCAGCCGACTGGTACAATTAAAATCCATATTTTAATGGGCTCAGAGATACTAAGTATTAAGTCAATAATGATATTACTGAAAACATTTGGTTGTGAAAAGAAAGAAGAGAGTGGTAGCTAAAGAGAAGGTCAGGATTAGGGACAAGTTTATTTTGAATGTCTATTTGTTTTATAGAAATGGGAGCAATATGAACAAGGCATTCAAATCCTTATCACCAGCTCTGATTGCTGTCCCCTGTGCTCATGGTCTCATGTCCATGTGAATGTCTAATACATCTTGAAATTACTCCAGGAACCTACATTTCACCTTCTGCTGTAAATTAACTCTTCTTCCTTTATTCCATCAATAAGGGAAAGCAGAAGGTGATAATTCTTCCTCCACTAACCACTTCAAATAAATGACTACCTCCTCTATAGTTCGAACACATATACAGGTACTCCTTGATGCAGTAGGATTGGGTCCTGATAAACTCATTATAAATAAAATTATTTTAAGTTGAGGACTGCATGCATACCTACAAACCCAATGGGAAGAAGAAAAGAAAAAAAGAGAGGGTGGTCATTCTATCTTTCTCTGGCTTGAGCACATAAAAAAAAATCTATGTATATGACATAAATTGAAAGTGCATGTATGACACCTAGCCTATCAAATGTCATAGCTTAGCCTAGTCCCTTTATGTATGTATGTATGTATGTATGTATGTATGTTTTTGCCATAGGACACATGCACTTCCCAGAGAGGAGAGAGACAGAGAGATTCAGAGATGGGAAAAGTGAGAAATCACCCCTCGGGGGGGGGGAGGGGATGGCCATGCTGCAATCTCTTTCTCTATGGTCTTCTTGGGATCATTGGCATGCCCACACACATCGCCTGTGTGATTTTTTTTTCTTTTTTTGAAGAGGCTTTTGCTATAGGGCATGTGAGCTCGCCAGATAGACAGAGAGAGACAGAGAGACAGAAAGCAAGAAATCACGCCCAGGGGGATGGCCACGCCGCAATCCCTTCTCCTCCATTCTCCTCTTGGGATCTTGGGCACACACGCACACATGCTGGTGTGAGTTTAAGTCACCGGGTCTGGGACTTGAACCGTGGTCAACTACATGGGAGCCCAGTGACATAGCCATTACGCTAACTGCTGGTCCCTGCCCTGTGTGATTTTGAAGCCACTGGATTTGGGACTCAAATTGCAGTAGGCCATTTGGGAATCCAGTTGCCCTAACCACCATGCTACCTGTGAGCTCTGCCTAGTCCCTTGAAATGTGCTTAAAGTGCTTATATTAGCCCACAGTAAAGCAAAATCATCAAAAACAAAGACTATTTCATAATAAAGTTATATATCTCATGTAATTTTTTGAACAAGTTTCTGAAAGTGAAAACCAGAATATAGCCCTTATTATTTTAGGCTAAAGCTATAGTCAGTGTTTTCGTTTGTTTGTTTGTTTAAAAAAGGGCAACCATAGCATTATAAATCCAAGTAATTGTAAGCCAAACCAGTCAAACTGTCTTAAGTCAAGGGCCCTCTGCATGTATTTTTCTTTCTGTTCCCCAGTACAGATCCCAGTCCTCTCTAAACTAGACTTCCTTGTCCACCTTGCATCAGGATTATCTTTATGAAGTAGGACTTTGAGTCACCTACCAACTTTCTGGTCAAACACTTTGATGACACTCACAGTCCATGAGGTAAAAACCTAAATTCCTTAGCAAGGAACTCCAGGCTGTGGCAGGCATTCATGACCTAATCTCTACATACTACAGAGGACTCTTGTCTAGCAATGCCAAAGTGGCTGCAGTTCCCTGAATTTATCTTCTTGTCACACTTTCTGCTCCTTAATTCCCACTGTATCTGAACACTTTTCTGTCATGTCTTTTTTTTTTTTTTTAATCAGATGTGTGTGTGTGCGCAGAAATATTTATTTACTTAAATTGTGATTTCCAGTTTACATTTATTCAATATCTTATTGTCTTTATTTAGCTAATCCTTCAGGGCTTCACCTAAACATCACACACTTTATTTAGCCTTCTCTTAAACCCTCCTGTCATTCCCCCCCTGGAGTGGCTAAGTATATTTCACTACACTGTTGTAGAGTCAGCTGCACATTATAATTATAAACTTGCTCACACTGACTTGAAGATGTCTATATGTGACTGTCTCCCCGTGATTTTGGGCTCCTGAGCTGGGGATGACACATTGCTGCTGCTTATACCTTTGCATTTAGCATATCACCTGCCACATGGTAATTGCTCAGATGCTTGTTCAACTTCACTGAGCAGTGGAAGGGGGGAAGGGTAACGCTGCTCAAGAGAGGAGAACCCACACAGAGTTTGGAAAGAGATGGTGAAGGATGGAATATGGGTGTTATCTTATGAGTTAACTGAATAGAAGAGATGCTCTTAACTACGTGCCCAAGAAGAAGGAGGTAAAGATGGCAGCCAATGGAAGTGGTAGGGAATGAAAGGAGGTTCATTTTGTAAGTTCATGTTAAATAGGTGTTGGACAAAGCAAGTGTTTAGCGAAAATTTGGTGAAGATGGTTTCAAATGAAGAAGCACATAGGAGATATTTAATGAGAAAGCAAATGTACTTCTTAGATGAAAAGACCCGGGAAATATTTCATTCCAGCCTGTGTTCTGTCCTAAGGCTCATTTATATACTTGACATTCTTTTTCGAGGTAAAGTTTTAGATAGGCTTGTGGCATTTTCTCTGCAGATGTGTGCAAAAGTTTGTGCCTGGAGATCTTTGCTTTTCTGCCAGGCTGTAGATTTGTCACTAAAGCTGGGCTTGGCCATTGTGATATTGCTGTTAGTAGAGTCCAGTGAAACATGACTCATGGCGAGGCTGCCTGCACTATGGGAAGAGTAATTGTAAATCATTTTGAGAAAGGCAGATTTTGTGTTAGTCTCTTGCTTACAAAGAATAACATAGCACTTGGGGAAGAATGTGCAACACAGGATCCCGTAGTTAGATATTAAAATGACGATAATCTCCACAGCGGGCAAATACTTGCCAAATGTGGTAGCATAGACGGGGATGAATGTGAGCCAAGCTATGAAGTAAATGAGCATGCCAAATGTTATAAATTTGGCTTCATTGTAATTCTCAGGCAACTTCCTGCCTTTGAAGGCAAATATGAAGCAAATGAAGGCCAGAATGGCAATATAGCCCAGCATCGTGCCAAATGCAAGTGTGGACCCTTCCTCACATTCCAAGATGATGACTCTGGGCAAGGAGACATTCTCCTCCACAGCAGGTGCTGCGAAAATAACCCAGAATGTGCAAATGATTACCTGGATACCTGTGCAAGTGAAGATAATGGGGACTGGTTTATACAGGCATCGAAGGAAGTTCTGCAACTTGGGATCGAAGCTGAAGGCTAACAAAATTTTCAGGGACTTCACTAAAATGCAGGAGACACAGAGAGTAAAGCTCACGCCAAAGAGCATCTGCCTGGTTTTACACGTGAAGTCGTGTGGCTCCCCAATGAAAAAGCCCACACTGGCAAAGTTGAGAAAGTGACAGAAGAGGATCACATAGCAGACCGTCAATCCCCCTGATGATTTTACAACAGGCGTGTTCACATTTCTTGTAAATATTATGCCAATCACGAGAACGAATATGATTCCCAGAAGAGAGAGGGCCAGGAGCAGGATAGCCAAAGAGTCATTCCAGTTCAGATATTCCACTTCCTTTTCAAAGCACCTAGTGCTCCTTACAGGGGCCCAGTGAGTTTCGTTGTTGCATAAAAAGCAGCGATCCATGTCTAGAAGACAGAAGAGATTCAGTTACAATGCAAACATTTAACCCAGGCGATGGTCTACAATGCTACAAAGGAGATTTCTCCTCGGTCATAGTTCTGACTGGAAAATAGATATATCCATAGATAATTGTCACATCAGTTACTTATTGAAACAAAATGGGCACAAAATCCAAAGACCCTGACAGAGAATGGGTGAAGGCAAGGGCAGAGGAATAGAGAAAGACCAAAAGAAAAAGGAAAGGGAGAGGGAGAGAAAAAAGTCACTGGGTGTGAATCTTGAGGAGACGAAAGGATAGGTACTAGCCTCTTCTGAACTTTCTATCCTAAATGGAAGTTCAGGAACCCTGTTAAGAGTAAGGGCTTTGAGGACCAGCAGGTGGCATAGTGATTGCGTTGTTGGACTCCCACCTGGCTGTGTGCTTTGAGTCCTGGATCCGATGGTTTCAAAATCACTCTGGGCATGTGGGCCTGTGTGCCCATGATCCCAGGGGAAGAATGGAGGAGACAGGATTGCGACATAGTCATTCCCCCCGCCACGCCCCACACCCCCACCCGCCAGAGGGTGATTTCTCACTTTCCCTCTCACCATCTCTCTGGCAAGCACACACACCCTGTGACAAACTACACCCTCCCCCACAAAAAAGAATAAGGGCTTTGAAATCAAACATAGCTTAAGTATCCTCCCTCTCCTTTTTTTCTCTACCACTTGTCATTTCTGTAATCTCAAACAAACTAGATGAACTTTCTGGGCCTGTTTCCAAATCCCTCTCTCTAAAAATAACAAAAAAAGACTGCCTCATTGGGATGCCACATTCAATGAGATAATAAACATAAAATGTTTCACACACAGCATTGTACCCAATAGACAATATGTGGGAGCTGCTGTAAGGAGTAGGGTCCACAATCTGTGTGTGTGTGTTTGTTGTTGTCTTATGAGAAAGAGAAAGAGAGAGAGGCACAGGAGGAGGAAAAGAGAGGAATTTTTTGGAGGGTCTTGCCCGGTTGCAATCCTGCCTTATCTCCCCTCTCCCCACCAGCACTCACCATCTCTCTGGCAAGCACACACACCCTGTGACAAACTACACCCTCCCCCACAAAAAAGAATAAGGGCTTTGAAATCAAACATAGCTTAAGTATCCTCCCTCTCCTTTTTTTCTCTACCACTTGTCATTTCTGTAATCTCAAACAAACTAGATGAACTTTCTGGGCCTGTTTCCAAATCCCTCTCTCTAAAAATAACAAAAAAAGACTGCCTCATTGGGATGCCACATTCAATGAGATAATAAACATAAAATGTTTCACACACAGCATTGTACCCAATAGACAATATGTGGGAGCTGCTGTAAGGAGTAGGGTCCACAATCTGTGTGTGTGTGTTTGTTGTTGTCTTATGAGAAAGAGAAAGAGAGAGAGGCACAGGAGGAGGAAAAGAGAGGAATTTTTTGGAGGGTCTTGCCCGGTTGCAATCCTGCCTTATCTCCCCTCTCCCCACCAGCACCCTGTTAGCTAAGACCACAGGGGCACACCACTGTGCCTGGCCTGTTTAGAAATGGAACCCAGGCCTCCGTGAGATCTCAGCCACTGCACAGTTATGCCTTCTCACTTGTGCCACCATGGCTGAGCCAAGACTTTAGTTCTTTAAAAGCCAGAACTGGTATGACTGAGTCACCCTAAAAGCTTGAAGTCTCTCTCTAAAAGTGAGATAACACAAGATGGTAATCCATGACATTTGATGATTTAAACTTTATTTTTTACCCAAGAGGGCAGTGACTTGAATCTCTCACACTACCTGTAGTAAAACTGAAAGGTGTTTATGTTAATTCTGACAGCAGAGCAGCATTAATAATTGATGTGAGAATGACAGCTTTGGGAGAGGTGTTGCTTTTACTCATCCTTCCTACTTCCTAAACATGGTAAGCTCTGATCCAGCAGACAATATAGTGGTTATGTCGCGGGACTCCTGCATGGATGACCATGGTTCAAGTCCCAGACCTGGTGGCTTAAAACTCAAACTGGGCTCATGTACGTGCATGCCCAAGATCCCAGAAGGAGAGTGGAGGAGAAGGGATCACAGCTTGGCCATGCTCCCTGTAAGAAATTTCTCACTTTCCCCTCTCACTGTCTCTGCCTATCTCTGTCTCTTTCTCACTCCTTGGCAAGCACATGATCCTTAAGGCAAATACCACTGCGGGGGGGGGGGAGGATGGTGGGCTCCAACTGCTTCCAAAATGGCCATCTCAGAGCATCTATCTGCTAATACTACATGGTACCCTTCTAGGTTTTTTTGTTTTAGAGAAATTTTTGCTATGGGGTGTGTGCACTCACTGGAGAGACACAGAGACAGAAAGTGAGAAATCACTGCCCAGGGGGCTAGCCATGCAGCAATCCCTTCTCCTCTATTCTCCTCTTGGGATTTTGGGCACGCATGCACACATGCCTGGCATGTTTTAAGCCACTAGGTCCAGGACTTAAACTGCAGTTGACTACGTGGGACTTCAGCAACATAACCAATATGCCATCTGCTCATCCCCCATCTATATTTTTAGAAGTTTCCGTGTTGGTTTCTTTATAAATGGAAATCGAGTGGTATTTCTGTTTGTAAACTTCACAAACTTTCCTAAATGTTTCATATTCTCTGAGTGGTTTTGTCTTTCTCACTTGGAAGATAGTGGCTAGGTATTACAATGTTTGAGTGAGAAACTTCCACCCAATTGCAAAATTCTTTAGCAACACAATCCTTCTCGGATTGAGATAAATGGCATTTTTATGATACAATGCCAGAAAATGAATATTATATTTACATGGGCATACTTTTCCCCTTGACAAGAGGAAAAGGACAAGAATTTAAGACTGTTTCCACTCTGTCGTTCTTGACTTTTATAGAATATGAATGGGAATGCAGTAATAAACAGGGAAGATGACGCTTTTAAAGTACACTGAACTCCAGGAAAAGGGCTGACAGTTCCTTTCAGAACAACTGAGGCCGCTGACTTCACACTTGTACTTTATGTGTTTTTGCTCAGATCTTGTCAGAGTGTTAAAGATAGGGTTGGCAAACAATCAGTCACTTGTATCTCGTCTCTGTCAAGAGTCAGTCCCCTTGTCTTACAGAAGTCTTTCTTTTTAGGCTTAACATTTTCCTCTTGGTATATGGATAATGGAATGACCGTGAATATGTACACCTGTTCTTAACTCCATCTACTCTGAGTTTCTAGTATGTTCAGTTTAGTTAATTCAACATTGACTTATTTGTACTTCTTGTTATAAGGCAAGCACTTTTGTATGGGGAAGCAGGGACAAAACTGACAGAGAACTTGCATCGTGTTAAGAGTTGCCAGAGGGGCTAGCAGATGGCATGGTAGTTAAAGCACTGGACTCCTACATGGCTGACCACAGTTTGAGTCTTGGACCTGGTAGCTTGCTTTCTCACTTTTTAATCTCTCTCTCTTTCTCCTCTCACTGGTGAGTACACATACCCTGAAGCAAATATAATAATAATAATAATAATGATAAAAATAAATAATGTTTTAAAAAAAGAGTTGCTGGAGAGAAAGTGTGCATGAAGGAAGAATGACATTTTCCCTGGGAAATAAAGTTATTTTATATTCTGTTATTTATTGATGATGCATCTACTGATAGAACAAATTCTAAGGTAAATGAAATTTCACTTGAATTTAATCTAGCAGGAATATTGGTAGCTTTTTAATTCTTTCAACAGTGAAAAAAAATAATAATCTACATAAGAGAAATGGTTTGGGTGTCGCGTCCAAGCTGGAGTGGCTGCAATTACCTGTCTGATTGCTGTAGTGATTTTCAGGACAGTTCACACATTCATAGCAGCAGCTGTGCTGACTTTTTGTAGCTTTCTTCATTTCTCCAGGGCTGCATTCCTTGGAGCACTTAGATGGAATCTTCTACATTAAAAGTAAAAAGGAATTCCAAATAGAACATTAAAAAGAATTTTAACTGATTTTTAAAAGAATTATTTAATTTTATTTATTCATTCATTTATTTTAATTTGATGAGAGAGAGAGAGAGAGAGGGAGAGAAAGCGAGAAAGCAAGCCACCAGGTCCGGGACTCAAACCATTGTTGGCCATATGGGAGTGTCCAGTGCCTTAACCACCACACCACCTGCTGGGGCCAAATTTTAACTAATTTTTACTTAAATATTTATTTACTAACTAGTATTTTGATTTTTTTTTTATAGCATTATAAATTATTTTGCCATCTTGAGTAATATGAACAAACTTAAAATGTATAAATGTTCCAGATAAAGAAGCTGCATATAGAAAGAATATACTTTTTCTCACATTGATAACTTCTGTGAGCAACTTATGAAGATTAGTTTCTCAGAAATCCCCTTTCCTAAAGAAGGAAATAATGGCCTGAAAATGACCAATCCTGTGCTGGATGAAGAGTTTCACTACGTAAGAAAATATTATTAGACTTTTGTACTTTTTAGAAATTCTTAAAAAGCTGTCCAAACAATGCATTAAAATGAATTCTAAAAAAATCTTTTTAAATTTAAAACTATGAGAATGTTAGTTAAAAAGCCACTGTGGCCTAGTGGTTAAGGGAGTCAGATTCCACATGGTTGACCACATGGTTTAAGTCTTAGATCTGGCAGCTTGAAAAATACTCCTGTCATGTATAAGTGCATACCCAAAATTACGAAAGGAGGGAGAATTGGAGGAGAAGGGATTATAGCATGACCACCCCCCATTTGGGGTGCTTTCTCCCTCTTCCTCTCTCTGTCTCTCTCTGGTGACTGCACATGTCCTCTGGCAATAAAAATAAAGGAAAGAGAGAAAGAGGAAGTAAAAAAGAAAAAGAAGAAAAGAAAGAAAGGAAAAGAAAGAAAGAAAGAAAGAAAGAAAGAGAGAAAGAAAGAAAGAAAGAAAGAAAGAAAGAGAGAAAGAAAGAAAGAAAGAAAGAAAGAAAGAGAGAAAGAAAGAAAGAAAGAAAGAAAGAAAAGAAAAAGAAAAAGAAAAAGAAAAAGAAAGAGAAAAAGAAAAAAAGAGAAAGAAAAAGAAAGAAGACAATCTTAGTGTATAAGTAATGTTTAAATCATTCTGAGAATTTGGGTTGTAATTCTCCATGTCACAATGGGACTCTTTCATGCAGCATCATATTTTTATGGATCCCTATGCTTCTGATCTAGTTAATCATGTTTTATACTTCAGTACTTTATTCATAACCCCTTTCTTTTGGCACATCTAGTAGATAAATCTGTATTATCATTTCACTTGGGAAGCCAGAACAGAATGGGTTAAATGAGATTTTCTAAGACATTCTGATCAGCTCCTGTGAGCCTGGAACACACACAAAGTACCAAGCTAACCCACCTTTTCTGTGAAATATGAAAATTATGTGCCTGAGAGAAAAAGGCAGCCAAGACTCTTGTAGCAGGCATGTCTCCATGGACTGACTTTCTTCTCAACATGGTAATCGCTGACCTGGATTTTCAGCAGGCAGTATGCATGCCTTGTGGAGTCCAGTAAACTATTTTTTTTTTTTTTTGGGAGAGGTTTTCGCCATAGGGTGCATGGCTCGCCAGACAGACAGAGAGAAACATAGAGACAGAAAGCGAGAAATCACCCCCCAGGGGAGATGGTCACGCTGCAATCCCTTCTCCTCCATTCTCCTCTCGGGATCTTGGGCACGCATGCACACGCACCCGGCGTGAGTTTTAAGCCACCGGGTCCGGGATGCGAACTGCGGTCGACTACGTGGGAGTCCAGCGACATAGCCATTACGCTAACTGCTAGTTCCCGAGTCCAGTAAACTCTTAATCTCAGCTACCCTCTCTTTTAGAGGTTGCTCAGGGGATAGAAAAGGTTTTAACTATTAGATAAAGCTGAACATTATTAAAGGCATAAAAGTGCAACTTTCCTTCCCAGCAACACACTCCCTTCTCTCCCTGTATTTCAGTAGATAGTAAATACATTTTGAATGTAACTTCTTTTTTTGAATGTAACTTTTTATCTTCATTTAATGGTTGTACATCTTTATGGTGTACAATATGGTTTTTCATAGCTTGCATGCAGTGTGTGATAATCAAATCAAAGATATTAATATACGTCATTTTCTTTTTCCTTTCACATTATTCTGATTTATTTGGTTCATTTATGTGGAAAAAACTTTACAAATGCATTATCTAAGACTTCAGTAGATTATTTTCTTGCAGGACTGGCAGGTCACGTGGTGGTTAAGGTGCTGGGCTCCCACATGGCTGACTGTGGTTTGTCTCACACCTGGAGCCTAACTTTCTCACTTCCCCTCTCTCTCTCTCTCTCTCTGTTTCTCTCTGGTCAAACTAAATAATAATAATAACAAATGGAATTAAATAAATAAATAATTCTTAAAAATAATTTTCTTGCTTTGAAAAAATAATTTTTTTTTTACATTTAAAAATGTTTGAGTATGCTTCCAATAAGAAAAAAAAAATGCTTGCATGTGACAGCTGTGTTTGTGGGACATCCTGTACAAGCTGCAATGTCGAGAACCTGGTAATTTGCCTATGCATATACATCATTTTCAGCAAAGAGGTAGTAAATAAATTCTGAAGTATAGAATTAATAACTTCAGCTATCAATGGATTTGCAATTATCTGATGTGTGGATTGCGAGTTTTAATGCCTTATCAGAAATATTGATACTTCAACTAGGCTGCAAACTGATAAGTAGACCTTGACATCTGGTCTAACTTATTTTAGAATTGTTGGTTTTTACTATATCCTTGAAATATTCATGAATGTCTCCATGAGAAGAAAAACCTGTCCCTCTTTGCACCAGGTCAGCCCTTGCATTTCATCAGTAAAGCCTCACTCTGTCAGCTACGTGTCATTCTTTCACCTCCCACTTATCACAAGTCTGCACCACTGATTCTGGGGATAAGTCTTCGTGACAATTAAAACTGACGCCTCTTACAAAAATAATGGAGAATCTTCTCCGTATTCAATAAGAAAATGAGTTAGAGCTTTTCTTTTGTTTTTAGAGAGAGAGATTTGGTGTAGGGTGCATGTGCTCGCTGGAGAGACAGAGACAGAAAGCGAGAAATTACCACCCCCTCAAGGGGAAAGGCCATGCCACAATCCTCCCTTCTTCTCCATTCTCCTCTCAGGATTTTGGGCATGTTTGCACACGCGCCAGCGTGAATTTTAAGCCACGAGGTCTGGGACTCAAATTCTGCTGACTACGTGAGAGTCCAGTTACGTAATCATAACACCATCTGTTGGTCCCTAGGACATGGTTTAAAGGCCCATTATGAGTTACAGTGTTCAGCAGAGTGCTGAGTTCATAACACTTGTAAGGATGGGGTCATAAAAATGAAGACCATGATCAAAGTTTCAGAACATAGAAAGGTAGCTAAATTGTTGTCTTCAAGAAAAAACATTTTGTTTTACTAAAACATTTAACAGGACAGATAAGACTAAGGAAAATGGTTCACAACATTATTATATTCATTCTTTCAAAATTCATCACATATTTGAATGTCTCTTATATGTCACGTATTGTTCTAATTGTGGGAGCCACAGCAGTGAACAGAACACAAGAATTCCTCTTCTCATGGACCTTAAAATCTAGTTGACAATAACAAAGATAAGTAAGATTATAACTTGGAGGGCAATAGCAGCCGTGGGCTAGAGAACAAAACGTCAGATTCTGGCCACATTTCAAAGTTAACTTTAATCAGATATGAGTGTGACAGAGAGAAGTGACAAGGCAGGGGTGAGAGGTGAGAGAGCAAGGGAACACTGGAGTTCTCTTCCGGTTGTTTCCATTTTGTTAGTGAAATAGAAAGCACAGTCTACTGAAAGTGAGGACGATGCATTGAAGTCAGAGGAGACAAGGAAAATATAAGATGGCCATCTAGGAAGGAGGGCACGTTAAGGGACTAGGTCAATAGTTAGATTGTCTGGTAGCATTCAGGGCCCACTGGAGGTAGAGATCATAAATTTAAAGTGATACCAGTCAGCAATGTCTTCATAACCCCTGCCTTTTTTTTTCTTCCAAGTTCAGCTACATAAAAGCTATATTGATTAGACAGAGAGCTGAATTCAACCAAGACTGTATGTTAGTCGAATGAGGTTTTTTTTTTTAATTATTATTAATTTGCTAGAGGATAAGTGTACTTGTGGGAGAAAGGGTGGGGGGAGAGAGAACCCACCATGGAGTACAGACATGTTGCAATCCCATCTTCCTCTCATTTTGAGATTTTGGCCATGCACAAATATGTGCTCAGCATGTTTTTTAAAGAAGATTGCCCTGCTAACTATGCTGGCCCATGAATAAGTCTGATGAAGAAAGAGAGAGGCAAGGGAACTGAGAGTGTGTACAAGGGAGCATTATCCTAATTGACTGTGGAATTTAAGGAAGAAAGATGGGGACAGTGAAGAAGAGGATCATCTTCCCCTCCCAGTGGGGCCAAGGAGTTTTGCAGTTGGAACACAAATTGATCCAAATGCTACAAAGCAACCTACGAGAAGATCACCTTTAGATTTCTGAACTCATCTTTTGTTTCTTGGTCTGTGACAATGAAGACATCATTCTGCAGGTCATACTCTGCCATCTTGGTGATAGTCATGTGGCCATTGATCTCCTTCCAGAGCACAACCTCATATCCAGTATTCAAGTCGCCATGAGCATCAAAATGAAATGAGTTTCCTCCATCAGTGAATGTCACATTTTTCAGCACATTAAGTAACTATAAAAAATAAAACCAGAAATAGGCACTGAATATAAACACTGTAAGATCCTAATTATAACACTGCCTTCTAAGTAATATCATGGTAAAAGTGAGAAAAAAAGAAGATTCTGGATCACTAGCTGGGAAGTTCTTAATCATCTGGCACTGACTTAAGAATGAATCCCTCAATTTGAGAATGAATCACAGTTCAGCCAAAGTCTTGCTACGTGGATTTGAGAAAGAGAATGTCTTTGGTGGATAATATCTTTTTTAGCCTGTAAAACTTAAATCCGAGCAGCTGCACTTATCCACATTTCAGAATTTCAGTATAGATTCTCTGGGGGTAAACATCTGAATTTTAATTCTCATTCTTTCATTAGTGGTGCAATATTGATAGGCAGAATTACTTTCTTATTAGGGCTTTAACTGGAATGTCACATCTGAAGATATGACCAGAAAGCTAAAGAACGAAGGCTGATCTCAAGAAAGCCAACAGAAGTTCTTGGAAAGATTGTCTTGAAGCATAAACAGTTCTGCCTAGCAGGTAAGTAAAGAATATCACTACCTCACAGGCCCCCAAAACTTCCAAGTGCAGGTACTTTAAAGATCCAGTTAGATGGTGAATTCCTGACTTGGTTCAATAGCCTTCAGAGGCTTTTTAAGGAGTCTAATCTGAAGTTCCTTATAAAAGGTTCCCGCAAAGCCAGCTGCATCAATTAGTATTCTTACTGGGCTCTGTGCAAGTAACAGACCAAATTGAGACTAAGCTTTTTTAGTTTTGGAAATAAGTTAGTTTATACTTCTCTTTGGTAAAAGGGGTAGTGGAGAAAAAAAAAAGTTGCAGAAGAAATCTATAGTGCACTTGTTACTAGATTTTAGTTCTGTCCATATTCGTCTTTTGAGTTACTAGTATTTATCTACTATATGAACGGAATCCTAATCTTTTTCCTGGCTTTAAGTCTTAAGCAAATTTTTCTTAACATTTTTTAAAATTTTGATTCGTTAAAGCTAAAACTGCTTTTCTTGAAATTAAAAAATAATACTAGCAAGCCAAGGACAGTGCACGGGAAGGGTGGGCAGTGGAGAGAGGGAGGAGGAAATCAAGGTTAAAAAAAAAAATCATGTGATAATATCTTTGCCTGGACAGGTATGCAGTGTATTCAAGATGGCAAAATTCATTTTGTATGCCATAAAGATGTACAATGATTAAATGTAAAAAATAAACGAAAAATTATAAAAAAGAATTACTTTCTTTTATTCTTCCCAATAGTTCTTAAGTCATTTCAATAATTGAGTGTAAAGTGATCATTAAATTCTATTTCTAATTTAACTTGCAACATGATTTTTTTTTAACTTGAGAAAAAAGAAATCTAAGGGAAAACTCCTTGTCTGATACAGTGATGACTGCTATAGAAGATAGCTGAAACAGGAAATGTTTTATTGACAAATGGGGCAGTTATTTTGAACTTGTGCTACAGTGGAAGTGAGTGGGAGGCAGGACATAAGCTGCAGTACTAGCCCAAGTAACTTGATTTATGTGAATGGCTCTGACTGCAGTCATGACGGCACACTCTTACCTAAATCTCTGGTTCTAGGTGACTTTTCTTGGGTTCAAAAATCTATGGAATGAAGCAGAGATTATTCTATTTAAATAGAATTATTCTACTGTATTTATACTAGGTTGGTCTTTTATGGAAACTTCAAGTTTTTGCCAATAGAAGAAAGCCAAATTTTATTGTAGGGTAAATATATAAGCTATTTATAGTCATGTCAATGAAGAAATGTTACTTTAGCAAAATCTCTAGCTGTATGTATTGATTATAATGTAAGAACCCTCAGATTTCTTTATTATTTTCATGTATGTAAATTAATTACTATTCCTTTAAAGAAGCAGGATATTAGATCTAACATGGTGTAATTAACCAACACAATCTTATTCTAGTGGCCAGACAGTGGCACGGCCGTAAAATACAATGTTCTGTGAGGCTGACGCACATGTCCAGAGACCTCTCTGAATATGCTGGGCATGTACATGCCTATGATCTAAGGCTGACTGAGGCTGGGGGTGGATCATGGTGGTGTCAAGACCATGTCAAAGTACTGCTTCTCTCTTTCTCTCTCTTTGTTTCTCTGTCCTTCTGGGTAATGGAAAAAATTAATAAACTAAAAAAAAATCTTATTCTAGGGTCAGTCCCATAGTGTGGAGTTTAAGTACTCTGCATAGAGAGTTGTATTCCATATGGCTGACCGTGGTTGGGATACTGGCCCCCGCAGCTTGAAAAATAGAGTAGGCAGATATGCATGCATGCACCAAATCCTTACAGGAGGAAGAAGTATAGGAAAAAGTTTTGTAGCATGCTCATGCCCCATTAGGAAATGCTTTCTCTCTCTTTCTTCCTCTCACTTGAGTGTGCCCTCCCTGGTGATTAAAAAATAAAATCTTATTCTAGTAATAGCCTGGTAGATCAGAAATGGAGGAAATACAATCAAAAGAATAAATAAGACCCTGACTTCAATGCTCTCACTTCTACCTGTGTACTGGTTTTTCTTTAGCTCCTTCCTGAATCAATATACACATATAAACCCCAGTAACTTGTGTGTGTGCGTGTGTTTTTTCATTCTTGTGTTTGAACTATAACTTCCACATATTTTTTCCTGCATTTAATTAGGTTTTGCAGGGTAACGATCTGACACATACACATTCTGTAAATAATGATAACATGTATAATGTAAATAAACTTGCACAATCGTATACTTGTCCTTACAGGAAAGAGGTGGAAGCAAATAAAACAGTACATTCATTACTCATTAAATACGATAGAACATTTGATCTGGATTAGGGTAAATTTTGAATATTAACCCTCCAGTTATTAAGCTAGTAAATGCTTTTTCCATCAATTATTTATTTCCTTTTCATGAAGGTTCTAAACTTTACTACAACTTGATACTACAAAATTAAGAAAATGAGAATTGCATTTTTTAAAAGAATTTGCAATTCTTTTAAAAGAATTATGCATTTAATTGTATTTATTATTATTATTATTATTTTAAATTTGCTATAGGGCATGCATGTTCATCAGAGAGAGAGAAAGAGAAAGTGAGAAAGCACGCCGCCAGGTCTGGGACTTGAAACCTAGTTGGCTATGTGGGAGTTCAGCACCTCGAACCACCATGCCACCTGCTGGCCCCTCTAGCAACTGGAGAAATTTGTTTCAGATGAGTAAATCTGAACATGATTAAAAGAAACAATTTACATTTAAATAGCTTGTTCACAGGTATTTAAGAAAGCATACATTTTTTGCTAAATGGAGCCTATTAAACTTTAAGTTTCTCTGAACTAATCAAAGAAAAGGAAGGGAAAGCACACAAATGGTGTGTGTAAACATCAGATATCATAATTCAATGAACATTCTTTTGAAGAAGACTAGGGTCGCAGGAAGTCATAACTAAGAAAGTTCTAACTGGAGATGGGAATATACAAACACCAAAGACACAGTGAAAAGCAGAGGGCATAGGCTCAGAAGACCCAGACTAGAGACATATTTCAGGTATTTCTTAGCTTTAGCTTCCTCATTTACAATACTTAGTAGTAACAAAATTATCATCAAACTTGTCTGGCCTAACTTTTGTGTTTTTTAAGAGCATTAAGAGAGAATTCATATGAAACATCAAAAAATCCAAAATTTAGAGAAAATAGCACTATCAATAGAATCTTCTTGGAACATAAAAGAATATAAATTTGGTGAATCAGAGATGGAGGTAAAGATAAAATACAGTTCTAGTATCTGCAAGGATAAAGAGTTATGGTTGAAATGCAGGTTGTCCAAAGCTAAAGGTGTCTGGAACCAGCAAAGAGCATAATGGTTATGTTGTTGGACTCCCACGTAGTCGACCCTGGTTGGAGTCTTGGACCTGGTGGTTTAAAACTTAAGCTGGGCGTGTGTGCATGCATGTCCAAAATCCAGAGGAGAATGAAAGAGAAGGGAATGCGACATGACCATCCCCATTCAGGTGGTGATTTCTTGCTTTCTGTCTCTCTGTCTCTCTCTGTCTCTCTGGCAAGTGCACACATCCTATAGCAAAAATCTCTCACCAAAAAACAAAAAACAAACAAAAAAAATAAAAAACAAACAAAAAACTAAAGGTGTCTACTTATAAAAAATAAGATTAAAAGCAGCTAGTATAAATCTTTACAAATTACAAATTAAAGCAAGGAAGGAAGTGGGAAAGATTATGGTGGGGGAATTTTCTCAGCTGTGTGAACCAATACCTCCCATGGTTGAAACGCGTTGGGGTTCTGACAGTCTCGAGCTTGGCACAGATCCCGAATACCATAAGCAAGGGCAAACACTGCAAGCTGAATGCTATGAATAAGTCCTGGCTCCGTATAATCCCAAAGAAAGTCATTTCTCATGAAGAAGTTTCTTTCTACAGCTTTGTTAGCCTTGTAGGCCAAAGTCCCCTGAGAATGGTTGAAAATGCATTGACTCAAATCATGGTCTTCAACATATGCACAGGTAGACAAAAGCATGGCATATTCATGTAAGGGTTTGTTATAGTCACCGGGAAACATATGCAGAGTTTGAAGAAAGGAATGGAAAGAGGACATACTCCCTCTTCTAAAGGCAAACCCCACAACTTTGCCAATCTTAGTAACATTAGGGATGGTGGTGATCTTGGTGGCAGTTGACCAATTATCACTAGCAATCCAGATCTTATTGATATTCCTTTCAAGAGCTTTCTTGAAGAGACTGAAAATATGAAATTGCCTCAGAAATACCACAATGACATTAACTTGGGCTTCTGCAATGATCTTCTCGAGTGTCTGATCGATCCTGACTTCAATAGTACCATCTGAGAGGAAAGCAGGGAGAACCTCTTTGAATGCTATACACACATTATTTGCTGCAGCCTGAATTGCAAAAGTGTTGAGAGCCAACCGTCCATAGTCATCATCTGTGGTTATCATCCCAATCCAATTCCATCCAGATTTCTGAATCAGGTGGGCCATTGCTTTAGTTTGATAGAAGTCACTGGGCACCGTCCGGAAAAATGAAGGAAAGCGAATTTTGTCACTTAGTATTTCCGCGGTTGATTCATAACTCACCTGGAAATGGACAGAATCTTTTAGTTATGGTGCTGATGGGCTCCAGGTAGCTGCTCAGAGTAGATGTTCACAGTAGATGTTCCTCTTTGATTTCTATAAGTTTCCATAACCATTCTTTAATTCTCTGGTCCTACTTTACAAATGACTTAAATCATGATACTCAGCACCCGATGATAGTTTAAGCATTGATTCCTAATAATTTCATATTGTATAAGCCCTGCAGGGGCTGAGGTTCTCTCTCATATCTCCACCTACAACTCTATATCACCTATATCTTCTCCCAGGCCCAATGGTGAATATTACTTAAATACTTAGAGGTAAATACAGGAATGATGCAGTTGATCAAATAAACAAAATGCACTTTGAAATACCAGTATGTGCGGAATATTATCAAATTCACTATTTTGGTAATTTTATTCTGGATAAAATAATTCAGTCAAATATTATCTAGTCCAAGTAACAGCAAACTGTTCCTGTGAAGCACCAGATATAAAACATCTAAAAGGCTGTTGGTCACATGTGGTCTCTGTCATAGATTCTTTTTTTTTTTTTTTTTACCTCTCATCATAATCTTTAAAAAAATGTACAAATCATTCTTAGCTTCACAGTTTAAGAACTTAAAAACCAGGACCCCAGTAAACAGTGTGGTGGTTAAGGGTGCTGCACTTTCACATGGTTAACCATGGTTTGAGTCCCGGACCTGGCACCTTGCTTTCTCACTTTCTCTCTCTTTCTTTATCTCTGTCCCTCTCTGGTCAAATTAAAATAAATAAATAAAATAAAGTTGAATAAAATAATTTTTTTAAAAAAGAACTTACAAATCACATTTGGTCAGTAGGCTGATTTTCTGATTCCTAATCTAGTCAAATGAACAATAGTATTTTGGAAGCCCTACCGAATGTATGGAAAGTTTTGCCTGATTTATAGCTTTGGGGTTTTTTTTGTTTGCTTATTTTGTTTTTGTTTATGTTTTCCTAGAGGGCATAAGTACTCACCAGACAGAGAGAGAGAGAGAGAGAAAGAGACAGCAAAATCACAATCTCACTTCCTTGTAGTGGGTCACACCACAATACTTTTTCCTCCATTTCTCCATTCCCAAAATTTCGGACATACATACACATGACCACCATATTCTTCAAGCCATTGGGGTGGAATGTGAACTGCCGCCAGCCATGTAGGATCTGGTTTACACAGTGCTTATTCAATGCCTTGCAAGTTTTTATTCTAAGGAGAATTATTACCTTCCATAACTGCCATGGCAACATGTCACTTGCTCAGTGATTTTATTACTACTTAGAGTAGCCATGTGCTATGGTGGAAAGACAAAAGGCTTTCTACCTGATAGAATCCTAATTCCAATAAATTTAGATAGTTACTTAATATTTCTTTACCTGTAAAACTATAGGATTCTTGTTAAGATTAAAAGAGAAAATTTAAATAGACACTAGCACCCAGTGGAGGTTCACTGGACCTTAATTGCCTTCCTATAACCTAACATGGCCATGCTTGGCTGTATGTAAGAGTTGGGCTTCTGTAAAATCAGTTATCCATGGAGGGTATCCTTCCCTTTTGTATTGTGTATCATGAAAATTACATTTTTACATTAGCTAATTGTTGTTAAAATAATTCATTTTTCTTACCTGTCACCTAACTAGCATTGTTTGTAGTTTAGACATTTTAGGTCAAGGAACCACCAGGTGATGTGGTGGTTAGGGCACTGGATTCCCAAATGGCCAACTGTGGCTTGAGTACCAGACCTGAATTTTAAGCTGGACTTATCGCTAATGTTTTTGGGGGATAATTCTTTTTGTTTTGTAATTTTTCTTTTTTAAGGTTTCTGTTATAGACCACGTGTACTTGCCAGAGAGAGACAGTGAGAGGGAAAGTGAGAACTCATCTATTGAGGAGGTGGCCACGCTGCAATCCCTTCTCTCCCACTCTCATTGGATGGCTATGCTGCAATCCCTTCTCCTCCTAGAATTTTGGGCATGCACACACATGCGCCCATTATGACTTTCAAGTCACTGGGTCTGCAACTTGAACTATGTCTAGTCATGTAGGAGTACAGTGCCTTAACCACTACACCACCTACTGGCCCCTCGTTTTGTCATTTTACACTTAAATCTTTCATTACCAACTTTGCTAGATGATAATATAATAGAACTCTGAGAGGTTTTATGTATAAATGTATTTACTTCCAGGAAGTTATATATTTTTAGTTCTTGTACATATTCTTTGTGTTATATAGATTTTTTTTCCTACCTGCTCACTTCTATCAGGTGGTTATTCCTATAACTGAGTATTGTCTCTTTTCTTTCTAACTTTTGGCTTTTAATATTTCTTATGTTTAGAAAGCAGTAACCTAGAGAGTTATAAATAGTGCAATATCAAGGTAAGTGGATTCAAAACCTTGAGGCTTCCTTGACTCTGAGTGGTGTGTGAGCACTTAGTACAGGGTTCTCTGACGTTTGGGTTTTCAGAGACACTTCTGTTTGCTTTCTGATTATTGGTTTGCATTTCAGGGATATAAGTAGTTCTATAGTCTTCAGTCAAAGCCTTTTCATCACACTCAAAACAAAACGCAAACCAACCCACAACTTACAAGACAGTACATGACAGCCTTTGCATTATCTCTGTAAATGCATTTCTTACTATTCTCCTTCAACTGAAACTGGTTCAGCGATATTGACCTTTCTTGCTATTCTATGGATATTTCAACTTTACATTTGTTGCTTTAACCAGATGCTCCCCTCTCCTTTCTCATCTCTTCTTGGTATCCCTTCTTATTCACATTTGAAGCTCAATATTACCTCCTTGAGAAGTCTTACTCGGTCTCCCCCAACCCCACTCTTCATTCTTTAGTTTTCTTCCTAGCATCTGACTGATGTCATTGTGTAAACAACGCAGTTGAGACACTCAGTGGTTTGTGTCTTATCCAAATCATGCTGAGAACTTATAGAAACTAGACCTGACAGATTGAGAAGTGATTATTTCCTTAATACTTTTTAAATTATACTATTCCTAAAAGGGTGCATCTGTTTTTTTAAACTAAAGAGGAAAAGAAGTTAAAGTAAAAAGCAACTCCCCAACTTTTCTTGATCCTTTCATAATAATGAATGAGATCAAAACCAATATATAAGGTAGATCAAACCTACCTGTGGCATGAGTTGTAAATTCAATATCCTGGAGACAGCTATGGTTATTTCTGAGTATCCAGCACCTATGACAGCCTTAACCCTTGGCATGTAGCTAGAATAGTCACACTTAAACTCCACAATTTCTCTGGAGCAGTTGAATTTAGAAAGAAATCTCAGAGCAGCTGCCATTGCCACGGTGACTTCGGCACAAGTGTCATAGATTTCATAGCCCAGTTTGACTCCAGATAATAGTGTTGAATTATTGATCATCTCAATGCTGTGTATCATGGCAAGAGTCTGAAGAAATACTGATATTTCAAAGCTGTTGAGAAACACGTACTTCTTGAAATCAGCATATAACTCTTCTGTACACATGATATCACATTTTATTTATATCTCTTGTCTTACACAACTTCTGAATAACTAAAGCTTACTTCTTGAAGGGGTTTACATTTTTTGAAAATAATTTTTTTATGAAAAAATTATTAGAAAAAAGGGTTCCTTTTATAGAAACCCTAATATAAGAACCTCGGGTATTGTTTTGTTTTCTAATTTGCCAGAGGGTGTGTGTACTCGCTGAAGAGAGACAGAGAGGCAAAGCTGGAAAGCACTTCTCATGGGACATGATCATGATGCAAACCCTTCCCTATTTCTCCCTCTGTACAGGATTTTGGGGACTCAGGCATTCCATGTCTTTCTCAAGTTCTGTTCTAGGGTTCAAACTGCAAGGTGGGCCATATGGGATCCAAATGCCTTAACCATCAGGAGTTGGTCTGCCCCTCCTTAATCCCTCTACTCTCTTTTTTCAAATTTGTTGCCAAAAGGGTGTGTGTGTGAGAGAGAGAGAGAGAGAGAGAGAGAGAGAGAGACATACCTCTCCTCTTGGTGTTTTTTCAAGCCACCAGGGCAAGGATTTGAACTGCAGTTCACCATGTGGGATCTGACTCCGTGTGCACAGTGCACAATGGTTGTGCTACAGGGCTTGCTCTTAAGAATTATATTTAAACAAATTGTGGGTAAAAGCTCAGAAACCTTCTCCTGGATAAAGTGTGCTATTTTAGCTTAGAGGCATAGTTATTTCCACACTCAGAAAATATTTCTAGTGTACTTTTTGATTTATAATTATTCTAAGATTATTGAGTTATTTGATTTCTGACTTACTGTTAAGTTTATTTCATTCACTACTGGATACAAAATATTACAAATAGTATTTAACACAAAATAAGGGTTCAATAAATGTTTTTTATATGAAGAAAGGGGGGATACTATATCTTCAGGGCTTTGATACTGTAAATTTTCTTTCCAGTTTATTACATATGACAAATTAAACTATTTGAGTATTACTATTTGTCATTATGGACTATGTAAACAAAAGGTTTGGCAAATTGGCATTAAAAAAGAGAAATGAGAAAAATGTAAAGTAGTAGACAGACAATTAAACTGTATAGTATTACATTCAAACTTCTTTAGAAGTGTATTTATTTTGGGACCAGCAGTTAGCGTAATGGCTATGACATTGAGCTCCCATGTAGTTGACCGCAGTTCGAGTCCCGGACCTGGTGACTTAAACTCGCGCCAGATGCACGTGCATGCGTGCTCAAGATCCCGAGAGGAGAATGGAAGAGAAGCGATTGGAGCGTGGCCATACCCCCTGGGCAGTGATTTCTCACTTTCTATCTCTCTCTCTATCTTTCTGGCAAGCAGACGTGCCCTACAGCAAAAACTTCTCAAAAAAAAAAAAGAAGTGTATTTATTTTAATAAAATTTATTTATTTATAAGTAAATTAATTTTTCTTTCTTTAATTAGTTACAGTGTAATTTATAAATAAAGAACATTTATTTATTTAATAAATTAAGTAAGTTATTTGGTGAAATAAATTTATTTTAAATAAAATAGCACTTATTTATTTATTTATTTATTTATGCAGTTTATTCACCCCAGTTACCACAGTGCCTGGAATAGAACCCACGTTATGCAGACATTAAATAAGTAGTTGTTGAATGTTGCATGAACACTATTTATTTTGATGAATGACTATAAGATAAAAGATTTCCAATTTGGTAATTTACTTTTTTTCCAGAATAAATTTGGTTATTAAATCAAACATCCTTTAGTATTTTTCAATCTTAATTGTCGGCCTTAGAATTGTGGGCCTCAAATCTTAGTCATTCTTGGGGTGCCAACGTAATGCTCTAAAAATCTTCATTTATATCATCTGTGTCATTCCCTGGAATTCCTGCTAATCAATGATAATGATGACAATAGCTCAAAGCACCCAGCTTTTGGAAAGAATGCCAGGAAAGAATCTTAGTGTGATGAGGGATTGCATTTTATCTGAAAGAGTTCTTAGAAGGTTTGGTAAACATGTTTTGATAAAGAAAGAAGACAAAAAGGTAGGAGAAAAGAGGAGATTAAACTTGCACACAAAAACATCAAGATCGAATCAGAATTTTAGAGTTAGAAGGAAGTATGGGCTCACGTTGCTATAGCAATAGATGCTGCCTTTGTCCTTAGTAGTTCTACTCACGTTCTTAAATTATAGGTAAGAAAATGAAAACAAACACTCAAAAAAGTTAGTGATTTGCCTAAGTTTATAAAATTAATCTGTTCCAAAATGAAATTAGAATTCAAGTATCCTGCTCTCCTTAAGTAAGTTCACTTATAATGCCCTCCACCAGTTTTACTTTTCCATATTAACTGTGTTGAATGCCTTTTCTGCAGCTAAACTTTCACAATGCAAAGTGTTCATCAAGAAAAGAAAAACACTGAAAATCTTAATTTACTATGAAAGAATTAGATTATTTCAAGAATAGCATGATAACAGTCATGACAAAAGTTAGTGGGAGAACAAATTCTAAATACATTTAAATTTTAATGTTTTAAACAAAGCATTAAATAACAGTTTTGTGTTTAAAACAAAATATATGATGTGGGTAATAGAAATATAAATGTTCTATGTATATTTGAGGTGAGGATAGGCTATGTGTGTTCTCAAGTGACTTCTGATATATCTCTTTTTTTGGGGGGGGAGAGGTTTTTTTCGCTATAGGGCGCGTGCACTCGCCAGACAGGGAGAGACATAGAGACAGAAAGCAAGAAATCACCCTTCCAGGGGCAATGGTCATGCCACAATCCCTTCTCCTCCATTCTCCTCTTGGGATCTTGGGCACACACACACACGCATCTGGTGTGAGTTTTAAGCCACCGGGTCCGGGACGTGAACCGTGGTCGACTACGTGGGAGTCCAGCGACATAGCCATTACGCTAACTGCTGGTTTCCTGATATATCTCTTTTTTAAAGGAAGGATTACAAGACTAGCCATATGCAACTTAAAAATAGATATGAGTTTAAATTTTGTTAAAATGATTTGGATATGAATTTAATAATTTGCATGTTCTAGTCCCATAGCATCGTCTTGGAATCTAAATATGTTTTTTTGAGGCTTTACTCACCCAATGCACTTCTGGATTTGTGGTCGTCTGGGATAGTCTTCTGAAGACAGCATTTTTTCATGAATGGCAAACAAACCTCCAATCATGATGTGTCCTGGAGAAGTGGCAGCCACAAAGTCCTCAGGGGTCTGGCAAGGCTGGGAAGCAGCAAGAATAATTATTAAGTAGGTATTCAGTATAATTAGCAATGCCATGTTCTATCTCATTTGCTCAGTGCATGTGAGTTCTTAGGAATCATTAAGCTCACAGAGTGCCAACAACAAGGCTCCTATTTCACCTGTAAACACTTTGTAAGGTATAGGGCAGTGTCAAAGGCCAGAAACATTCGGTATTCAGATACGTGATTATAGTCAAAACAGTTTCTTCACCAATAAGAACACATCAGACTCTCTTGATGCTCCATTGTTGGAGACGTGTAAAACTAGCTACGCTGGGTAAAAACTGACAAAGGTATAAACACAGGGCTCCTGTAATAGTCCTCCTTTGTTTGCATTTGTTTTGAAGCAGGTGTAGAAGTTTCAGGAAGCAGCAGTTTAGGCAAGTTTTCCTACTTTAAAAGGCATAGCTCTGCATTTCCAAAGGTATCACATTCAAGGCACAGAAGCTAGCTATAGTTTACTAGCTGCTTCTAAAAAAAGCATCCTTCTTTTATTTTCCCCAACAAGTTCTATTTAAGAAAATGAAAATGGTTGAGTTTAGGCATCATTTACTGTTTGCACTTAGAAATGCTTTTGTGACAACTGGGAAAGATAAAAGCATGATGAAACCTAAAGCTTGTCTGATAGAGTGTTTTTCTTGAACAAGGACTCTGTTACTGATCACTGACATTTCCACTACTGTTTGTGCTATTTTATTTTGAAATATTTGAGAAAAACTTTAGACTATGTTCTTAAATGCTTAGGATCTTTTGTTGTTATTGCCTTTTTAGAGAGATTTTTGCTATATGGTGCATGCATTCACCAGAGAAACAGAGAGTAAGTAAGAAATCCTCCCCCCACTCTCCTCCTCCCAAAGATGGCCGTGCTGCAATCCATTCTTCTCCATTCTCCTCTCCAGATTTTGGGTGCACACACACATGCCTGGTATGAGGTTCTATTTTTAATTTTTATTTGATTTGTTATGATTTTTACATTCCCACAAACATTTACTTTACATATCAAAAATTTTTGCTCATATGCCATAGTTCTTGGCAGTTAATAGATACACAACTTTCAAAATTTCAAAAACCTGCATTTTAAAGATACCTTTCAAAATATTTGTTATAATTTTGTTTGTGTCTCTATAAAAACAGAGACAGCATGGTTTTAAATATTTTTGAGAAAATATTTACATGTCAACTACTCAAACTGTTGAAAAGCAAGCATCCAGCACAATTCACACATGAACTTTCCCAACTCAGCTCTGCCTACCAAGTATTCTGTAGTTTACCACCTGCTAGCAAAGATCAGTCTCTTTTTCTTCCCTCAAAGTTTTCCTCAAGGTAATCCTCTGGTTGTGGCTGCTCTTTTGCAATCTCTACTGATTGCAATGCTGGGCTGGAAAAGTCCAGGTTATTTAATGGTACAAATTCTTTCATATGGCTCCACTAATCCTGTCTGCCAGACAATCTCTCTGGTGACAGGTAATCTTTCCAAGAACTTCTATTGGCTTTTTTGAGATCTACCTTATTTCCACAGTTTTCTGGTCATATCTTCAGATACGATATTCCAGTCAAACCCCTGGTAACAACGAGTATTTCCAATTTCTGATACAAAGTGACAAGTATTAATGAACTGCCCAGTGTGCGTTTCAAGCTGCTGGACCTGGCACTCAAACTACAGTTGGCCATATCAGTGCCTTAACAACATGCCACCTGCTGGCCTGATTTTTATGCTCTTAAATGATTAGCATGATTTAAAAAAAATTTGGGGGACCAGCAGTTAGCGTAATGGCTATGTCGCTGAACTCCCATGTTGTTGACTGGGGTTCGAGTCCTGGACCCGGTGGCTTAAACTCACGCTGGGCATGTGTGTGTGCGTGCCCAAGATCCTGAGAGGAGAATGGAGGAGAAGGGATTGTGGTGTGACCATCCCCCCTGGGGAGTGATTTCTCACTTTCTGTCTTTCTGTCTCTCTCTGTCTTTCCAGCAAGTCAACGCGCCCTATAGCAGAAAACCTCTAAATAAAAAAAAAAAAAAAAGAGAGAGAGAGAAGAAAAAAAAAATTAAGTTTATTTCTTCCATAAAAAAGAGAGAGACAGAGAAGGAGAGAGATTTGTGTTCAACAAGGTTTTTATACCATAAACCACCTTCAGTCTTAGCCAGTCCAAATCACAGGCATGCATATGCATACTTCTATCAGGTGTGTACAGGAAGGCTTCTAGACATGAACTTGGAACTTCCCCATATGGCTTAAGCATTGCAGATCAATGGGTTATTACTGCACCACTGCAACTAGCCTGAACAATCATGATTTGATTGGAATCTTTGGAACTTAACAAAGTGTAGATAAGCATCAATTACTTAGACACCATTAAGAAAAGTTTGGGGCCAGGTGATAGCATAGTGGTAATACATACAGCTAGAGCTATTTGGTGAAAATCCTGGGTTCTCTTCCCTCCCTGAGCATGTCAGTTGTGTGAGTGCTTCCCATGATCTGAGCTGGTTGAGACTACGGTAGATGGAGACTGAAGGTGGATTATGGTGTGAGGATACTATAGATGATGCCTCTCTTTCTCACTGTCTCAGGGAAGAAATAAATAATAAAAAAGGAAAACATGCAAATGTTTGTTTTTCAAAGTCAGTCTTTTAAAAATATGTGATTAATGGGTTGACACATTAAATGCTGTTTAAAAGAACTCAAGCCCTGGCCACAGCAGCTTACATGCCAAACCTGTGTCTGTATAAGATACTGAAAGGAAGGAGAAGTTGAGGAAAAAGACTGCAGCGTGACCAGGTTCTTCTGAGGAGTCATTCTCTAGCTCTTCCTACCCTCTTTCTCCATTTTCTCTCATACGCACAGACTAATGTCCTCTGGCATAATGAAAAAAATAAAGAAAAATATTTTGATTAAAAATTAGTATTTCAGGGCAGGCTCTGTGGCCTAGTTGTAACGTGGTGCTCGAGAAAAGTTGATCCCACAATGGTGGGCATGGTTCGAATACCTGGTGAGTCAGTCTAAAACATATCAGGCACTGGGATGAGTACCCAGGATTTAACAATTTGGAGGACTGAAGGAATGGGATCTTGGCATGACCAGACCTTATGATGGGTATTCTCTCTCTTTCTCTCTCTCTCATTCTCTCTCTCTTTCTCTCATTCTCATATGCCTCCACATGTACTCTATCATGGATAATGAAAAAGAAAGTAATATATCATGAGTAAGCAGTTTCAAATCTGCTACATACAGTTTGTTTGATGGATAGCAGATACATTTAAAGGAATTTCAACAAATAGAAGAAAACAGTGGCCACTATGGCATTTTTCAATATTGAAATTAGATTCCATGGAGATGTAGGGTTATGCTACATAAAGAGTTAAGATACATCTCACCATAGCATCAAATGATTAAAGGAATAAGTTTAAAACAATGGCATGTCCATTGTCTGCAAGAGGGAGTTGAGGGACATGTGCCATGGCAGGGGATCGTGGGGGACCTTTGGACCACACAACACAACAACTGATTGCTCCGTTCATATACATAGTCAGTCTGATCAAACAGGTTAGAGTGCTGGCTGTGAAATGAAAAAGAAAGCCAACACCAATGTTATGAAGGTTGATGCCAATATCTACACACCAGAGCAAAAACAAACAGAGCTTCAGAATGAGTTCTGATCTACTGTTCCATATTGTCATTCTTTTTCAATATTTTGTTTTCAGGGTAGCACAAATTATATTTAACTAAAACAAGCAGATTCTCAAAACACAATACCACAATTATATTTTATTTGATCAACATTGAATTTGAATGCATTTTTTCTGCTTGTGGGATGCATTTCTCTCACAATAATCCCTTATCAAGAAGCCACAATAGGAGAGTTCATACCCTAAGAACACAACCTTAAGGACTGAGCCATGAATCTCATGATTAGGAATGTTCAACTTGCATTTCTTGTCTTACATGCTTAATTAATCTTCCTATTGTTTCCTAATTTTTTCGTGTGCTTACAATTTCCTCTTCAACTAGAATGACGGTTTTTGAAGGCTAAGCTAGAGTTTAATATGTAGTTGTGAATCTCATAATTCATAATTCAGTGTTTTAAAAATATGTCTATCGTTTTCTGGTGTTTTAAACTATTTTACAAATATACCGCTTAGTTTGATTTTTTTTTTTCTCTTAGTTTGCTATAGGGCACATGCATTCTCAGAGAGGGACAAAGAGAGAGGGAAAGTGAGAAATCATCCCCCAGTGAGGATGACCACACGGCAATCCCTTCTCTTCTAGTCTACCCTTGGGACTCTGGGCACTCATGCACATGCACCCTGTGTGTTTTCAACACCTCAAGTTTGGGACTCAAACTGTGCAGTCAGTCATGTGTCATTCAGCTGTCTTAACCCCATGCCATGTGCTGGCTCAGTTTGATCATCTTGACAAGCTGTCAGAAAGCTCATACTAGATAAATCAGCCTCAGTAAGTAAACAAGTCCAAGCTACAGTTGTCACTAGATGTTATCACCAACTTTTACAGTCTATCGTTATTATTACTCACCCATAAAACTAAAAAATATTGGCTTACATTTAATCAGCATTACATGCCATGAGGATATCGCTGTACTTTAAATCACAAAGCTCAACAATGTCTTTGCTAGAGGCGAAATCACAAGGCAAAAGCCAAAATCTCTAGTGGATCCAGTTGGGGTGCATAGCTAAGAAACTGACTTCATTTAGTTGGATTTCAAATGTATCAAAGAGCAGGGTTGGTCCTAACAAGGTTGTAAAATAATTGATTCAGATTTTTTTGCATTCTTTTTCCCATTAGATAACCCTGTTCCCCTGTACTTACTCACCTGGCTCTGTATTCCATCACTGTGCTTTTGCACACTGAATTATCACTAAGCACTTCTGATTCATCACGCCCCCTCTTCTTCTTCTGTACTGTAATTACTGTCTGTAATTAAGACCCCCCTTTGGGGGCAGCAGGTGGTGCAGTGGTTAAGGTGCTGAACTCCCACATGGCAGACTGTGTTTAGAGACTCAGATCTGATAGTTTGAGACTCATGCTGG